CCGCGGGTCCTTTTGCAAAAAGTCGGTGAGGGCCGCCATCATGGTGGCAGCGGCGTGGTGATGGCTGCCTACAAACCCCGACGCCTCCGCCACCGCCAGCTCATGCGTGCCTGGCAGCGGGAGCAGTGCGTGGCAGCGACATGTTGGCAGGGAGCACGGTGCCCACACCCGGATGGGGGAGGCAAGCAGTGCCAAAGAAAGAAGACAGCAGCACGGCTTTGCCCCGTGCGCTGCAGCATGGGAGCCGCACCTTTTAGGACATCCTGCGCCTGCAGCAGCTTGTCCACCCACGTCAGCACCCCGTGCTGGCTGACCAGTCCGCAGCCGTGCGCCGCGTGGTAGCGCACCAGGAGCTGCAGGGCGGGGGTGGGCATAGGGACAGTGCCCGCCGCTTCAAACGACACTCGTGCGTGTTGTTCAAGCCAGGCGCCGGGCACTGCTGCCGTCTCCCACCACACCTCCCCGACGCATGCCCAGCAGGCCAGCAGGCGGCCCTGCCCGCACGCACCTCCACCCCCTCGCTCCACTTCCACTTGCCCGCCAGCTCGGCCCGCAGCCCCGCCCGCTGCGCGTCCGTCAGCGGCGCCAGCAGCTGCGGCGGCGGCGCCTCGCCGCCCAGCAGCGCCTGCGGCACCGGCTGCGGCTCGCCGCCGGCCGCGGCCCCTTCCCGCGGCGCCAGGCAGCTGGCGGCCTCGAGCCACTCCTCCCCCACTCCGTAGGCCGAGTCCCTGACCCAGGTGGCCAGCGTGCGCTCCAGCACAGCCAGCTGCTGCAGCACATCCAGGTCGTGAGCGGCGGCGCGGTGCAGGTGCGCGGTGGGCTTGCCGGCGGCGGCGGCGCGGGCCAGCGGGTTGTCGGAGCCCTTGATGACCTGCGGGGCAGGCAGGGCGCCGCGGGGCGTGGCTGTGAGCGGGGAGGCAGGCCGCCTTCTGCGCTGCGTGGTGCCACGCATGGCAGCGCGGCATGGTGGCGGGGCATGAGGCCGTCGCAGCAGATGTCTACATCCGCTGTGCTGCCAACAGCCCTATCACACACAGCAACTTACCTGGTCCAGCAGATAGTCCTGCCAGCTGGCGTAGTCGTCTGCTGCCAGCTGCCTGTACATCTCCCCGTACTGCTGCACCAGCAGGGCTGCCCTTCTGCAGCAGCGTCAGCACCCCCAGGAAGGCCTGCACCAGAAAAACAGCAGGCAGGCGGTGGCGGTTCGCCAAGGCAGGCGCTGCAGATGACAGTAGCAAAATCCAAGCCTGGGGGTAGTTGGTCTGCATTCACTTTGCAAGCGAAGGGGCACGCACCTGTGCCGGTTTGCCCTTGAGGACCTGGCTGTACAGCAGCAGGCTGGCCGCCCCCCGGGTTAGCTCCTCTGCTGATTTCTCAGCGCTCTTGTTGCTCTGCTCCGCTCCAGGGAGGTCAAACCCTATTGCCCGCACGCGCACCGCCAGGTCCCGACGGTGCTGCCGCGGCGGCGGGCGTGCCCAGCAGCCCTGCTGCCGCGGCGCTGCTGCCAGGTGCGCCGCTTCTGCAAGGTGACGCGCCCTGAGCGTCGTGTGTGGTGCTGCCTGCGCCTGGCAGCCCACTCCGAAAGCCCGCATGTCCCCTCCAGCAGCAATGCAGAGTAACTCTACAGCTGCTGCTGCACTGATCAACGGATCTGGCACTACTGCTGCCGCCGATGCTGCTTCTGCCTCTCTAGAGAGGGTGCCCAGCTGGCATTGCACAAACTACCCTTCAAGACCAGGCGCTTGATTGAGAACAGTTGCTTGTGTGGTAGCAGTCAGATTGCTGTACTTAGGGGAGGCTCCTCCAAGGGCACATCTGGGCTCGCCGATCGGTCTGGGCGCACCCCTGGCAACTCTGGCTCAGGCTAACCGCGTGAGTATGGGCTCTAATGCAGGCAGGCAATGCTGCGGGGCATCGCCATCGATGGGCGGTGCCACACCGCCGCCGCCATTGCCCGCCGCCGTCGCCGCCCATCCTGCCGCCGCCCATCCTGCTGCAGCATGGCCGCCGCGCCCTCGGAGGAGGAGCCGCTGACCGTCTTCACCATCGGCCATAGCAGCCGGACCCTGGCTGAGCTGGCAGACTTGCTGGAGGAGCACGGCGTCAAAGTGTTGGTCGATGTGAGTGTGCTTGCTTGCTTGTGTGGGCTTAAAGTCTGGTAAAGCAAGAACTAGCTTGCAACATAGACTCCCCGCCGAAACGGGACGGGAACCGGGCGAAAGCAGAGAAAGCAATAAAACAGGGGTGGAGCAAGGCGACATGCAACGCAAGCAGCTGACAGGGCACGCATCGAAACGTGTGTATGACTGGCAAAGTGGCATGGCGCATTGGGGAGAAACGCAACGGTACGGGAGCATGGGCTGGCCAAACGGCAGTGCGGAACGCTAGGTCACTAGAAAAGCAGGGAAAGGCGCACTATGTATGCAATGAGGGCAGCCCCGGCTCGGGGCCATTGAGAAAGCAGTGGGCGGGAGGGGGGAGGCCCCGGTGTGGGCGGGCCCCATCGAGGGGGGATGGGGCGCGCAAGCGGCCAGATGGGGCGGGGCGCGGGCGGCAGTGGAGTCCTGCGGCTGGGTGGGATATAGGGCAATGAGCGTTGAGCAGTGTGCGATGAGCAATGAGCAATGAGCAGTGAGCAGCCCCTCCCTAAACAAAGTGAAGCGCAGGACGGGGTCCGGTGGATGGGAGGCAAGGAAACGCGGGGGGTTGCCACGTGCGCTACCGCCGCCGCCGCAGGCAGCACCCCTGCGGCGGCGGCAGCGGCAGCAAGCCGTGGACCCAAACGCCGTGCCGCCGCCGCCGCAGGCAGCACCCCTGCGACGGCGGCGGCAGCAAGCCGTGGACCGAAACGCCGTGCCGCCGAGTCCCGTGGCTGTGGCCGTGGGCTTCTGGCAGGAAACTACGGCCGCAACTCGGCAGCACGGGGGCGTCGCAGCGTGCCCCCGCCGCCGCCGCGCTGCCCCCCGGGCACGGCGGCGGCGGCAGCAAGCTTGGGCCCAAACGCCGTGCCGCCGAGTCCCGTGGCTGCGACCGTAGACCGTGGGCCGGAAACTGCGGCCGCAGCTCGGCGGCACGTGGTTCTGTTCAAATCGCCAAGCGTGCAGCAGCGCCGAACCACGCTTCCCGGCCTCGGCGCATGCCTTCAGGGGCCCCCTATCGCTGGGCACACCCCTCCAACACCGAACATGCGCCCGGGGGGGAGGGCGGCCCGGGCTGCCCAGGCCAAAGTGGGCCGCCCTCGAGCAAGAGGCGGCCGGTCTGTGTGCTGAATGGCCGAGAATGGGTTGCAGAGTGTGCCAACATTGTGTGCTTAGCACATCGGGAGCCGGCATCTGCCCAACCCCATGCTAGCTGAGCAACCGCGCTCTTCCTGCAGGTGCGCACCGCCCCCCGCAGCCGCAGCAACCCACATTTCAATCGAGAATCCATGGGCGGGGAGCTGCCCAGGCTGCACGGATGCCAGTACGAGTGGATGGGGCGGGAGCTGGGCGGGCTGCGCAAGCGCAACAAGGCCCTGGCTGCCAACGACGGCTGGGAGAACGAGAGTTTCAGGGGTGCGCCCAGGCCGGCCGCGGGCACAGGAGGGAGCAGTTCTTTTCCTGTTTTGGTGTGCTGCTCCCCAACTAGCCAGGATGCGCAGCACGTGTGGGCCTGCCGTGCTTGGGTCCTGGCTTCTCCTCCTCATGGCTGTCTGCCTGCCCTGCTCACCTACCTTGCTCTTTTATGTGCGCACATCGCAGGCTATGCCGATTACATGCAGACCCCAGCCTTTGCAGCCGGGCTGCAGCAGCTGCTGCAGCTGGCGCGTGCGAAGCAGCCCGTCTGCCTGATGTGCGCCGAGACCTGCCACTGGCACTGCCACCGCATGCTGCTGTGCGATGCTCTGGAGGTGCACGGCTGCCAGGTACGGCACATCATGCAGCGCGGCAAGGCCCCGCTGGCACACCAGCTGACCAAGTTTGCGCGGGTGCACGGCACGACCATCACATACCCGGCAGCGGCGCAGCAGCAGGAGGCAGGCAGCGATGCCGCCGGCCAGAGGCGTATCAGCAAGTTCTTCAAGCAGCAGACAACGGAGGAGCGGCAGAGGCAGGAGGACGAGCAGCAGCGCCAGCAGCAGCTGGGGAGCAGCGAGGCAGCAGGGGAGCAGCGAGAGACCCACCAGCAGCAGGAAAGGGAGCGGGAACAGGAGCAGCAGCAGCAGCAGCAGCCTGCATATGCAGGCGCCGGCCAGAAGCGGATCAACGCCTTCTTCAAGCAGCAGAGCACGGAGGAGCGGCAGCGCCAGGATGAGGAGCAGCGACAGCGAGAGGCGGAGCGGCCCCGCCAGGCGGCAGGGAAGAGGGCTCCGGGCGGTGGCGGCATCGCCGCCTTCCTCGAGCGCAAGCCCAAGCGCAGCAAGCCAGAGGAGAGAGGCAGCCCCTGATGGTGATGCCGTGTGGATGCTGTCTCAACCTGCTGCACACATGAATGCACAGCTGATGTAAGGGGGGCTGCTGCAGGTGTGTGCCAGCATGGGCACCTGAATCGCAACCCATCTATACTTTGCCGCCGCGCCGCTGCCGCCCTTGCGCCTTGTGCCAGCCTGCCAGCTGTGGCGGATCCAGTTTTGCCTCTATCCGGGTTCTGCGTGACACTACCTGTACTACCTCGCACCATGCAGCAGCACCTACAAAAGCCTGCACTTAATGCTGGTCATCCTTGCTGGAACCGGCGGGCCAGCTGGCGCCGCCGTGCTTGCCAAGATGAGGGAGTCAAAAGGCCCGCGTTGCTGCCTACAACGCATATCATTTTGCGTCTCTCAGCTCTCTCACTTGCCTGGCACCTGTTCCTCCTGCAAGAATGGCGTCCGTCGTTGCTGCCTCGCGCGCCTTCACCGGCATCACCGCTCGCCAGAGCACCAAGAGCGCCAAGGTGGGTGCATCGCATAACGTGCGGCCTGATGGGCATCGCGTAGCCTTGCACAGCTCCACCCCGCTGTCCTTTGCTGCCGAGCAGACTTCGCCCATCGATCGGCATGATGCGATGGCATGTATCGCACCTCTCAAGTCCTTGCCCTCGCTCGATCACTGCAGGCTCGCAAGCAGGTGACCCGCGCAAGCGTGGAGTTCTACGGCCCCGGTGAGTCGGCGGTCTCCCGCTCTTCTCTGGCAACCCCCGCCGGCAATTGCTGTACCAGTCAACCCGGCAATTGCTTGCACCAGCGCATCAGGCTCTCCCTCACCACCCCATTCCGTGCTGCCAATGCAGACCGCGCCAAGTTCCTGGGCCCCTTCTCCGAGGGTGCGGTTCCCTCCTACCTGAAGGGTGAGCGCGCCAGCCAGGCCGCCGCCGCTGGCAGAAGGCCCTTGCATCTCGCCACCCGCCCGCTGCCCCCGCCACACGCCCTCCCTCCGTCACTCGGCAGCGGCCCCCTCCCTGCATAAACCCCATCCACCATGCCTGCCGCCCCTGTCCCGCCTGCAGGCGAGTTCCCTGGCGACTACGGCTGGGATACCGCGGGCCTGTCTGCCGACCCGGAGACCTTTGCCCGCTGTGAGTGGGCATGATGCATGGGGCGCGCAGCCAGCCTGGCCACCCCTCCTGCTGCCCTTGCCGCTGCCAGCAACCAATGAGGCGCGCAAGCCCCGCCCGCGCTGCCCGCAGACCGCGAGATCGAGCTGATCCACAGCCGCTGGGCGCTGCTGGGCGCGCTGGGCATCCTCACACCCGAGTACCTCCAGCGCTCTGGCGCGGTCGACTTTGGCGAGGCCGCCGTCTGGTTCAAGGCGGGCGCCTCCATCTTTGGGTGAGCGCGCCAGCGGGGCCGCCGTGTGGCCAGCAATCGCAGCGGGCCACAGCTGGCGCCATGCCGCGGCGGTCCTCGAGTTGCTGCTCATCTCCCAGCCCTGGCTCCAGCCCAGCGCCCGCCCACTGAACCTGCCGACCCCGCCACCGCCACCCTCTCTGCCCCCGCAGCGATGACGGCCTCAACTACCTGGGCAACCCCCAGCTGATCCACGCCCAGTCCATTGTTGCCACCCTGCTGGCCCAGATCGTGCTGGTGAGCAGGGGAGGGTGGCACTGCGGTTGAGAACGGCAGCTCTTTAAGGAAGCCAGCGCGATGCGCCATTCAGGCACAGCTGGTCTGCGCACTCGAGCGCTGCATCGCCTGCCACCCCGTGCGCTTGCCGTGCAGGTCGGTACCGCCGAGGCGTACCGCTACGCGGGCGAGGGCCCCGTGGACACCAGCGGCGACAAGCTCTACCCGGGCGGCTTCTTCGACCCCCTGGGCCTGGGCGACGACCCCGAGGCGCTGGCCGAGCTCAAGGTGTGCGAGGGGCGAAGCAGGGGCTGGGGTCTTGGCAGCGCTTGACCCGCCACGCTGCATGGCGGACCGCCACAAACTGACGTGCGCGGAGCTGCCGGCGCTCCCCTGCTTGCAGGTCAAGGAGATCAAGAACGGCCGCCTGGCGCAGGTGTCTGTCTTCGGCTTCTTCGTGCAGGTGGGTTGGGTGGGGCGGGGTTAGCTGGCGTGCCTGCCCAGCTTCAGCGTCGCCTCTGGTTGCGGCCCAGCCGCCACCGCCTCACGTCGCCCGCCCCTCTGCTGCCGCCGCAGGCGCTGGTGACTGGCAAGGGCCCTCTGGAGAACCTGGATGTGAGCTGCGCCTTGCATGCATGAAGCTCTGCTGTTGTGCCGTGTGCGTGTGGAAAGAGTCGGCGCCGCCCCGGCGTGATCCGCCCATCGCTCCATGCTAAACGCATTGCCTCTCTGTTTTGTGTGTGCTCAGGACCACCTCGCCGACCCCTGGAACAACAACGGCTTTGCTTACGCGGCCAAGTTTGTGCCGGGCCTTGGCAACTGATGGGGTCGGCCACTCCAGCCAGGATGGCGGCTCGCCGCAGAGCTGCCTCCCCCGCATTTCATGCGCCAGCCCTCTCTTGACGTCCAGCACTGTACACTGATTGAGAAGATCCACTTAACACTGATGTACTCCCTCTGCCCCACTTCCGTGTACTTATTTGCTGCGGCCGGGCCTGGTCTGTAACAATGCACGCTGTACGCAAGCACCAGCAGCAACGCATAGCGTTTGATAGTGGGTACCAAAAGGGGCTTAGTTTACAGGGCCCTTGAGAGTTCCATGCATGCCATGCAGTCAATGAAATATAGGGGGGGATGGTACAAGATCACATGCGGCGGTGGTTGTACAAACAGAGCGGGATGGGTCAGAGCGGGTCGGAGCGGGAAGGGTGAGGATGCACAAAGGGATTGGAGTTTTGGCCACACAACAGGCCATGCCCAATGGCCGGCAGCACCAGGGAGGAAAAGGGTGGGGCCTGAGGGGCGAGCGGGTAGTCAGGGCTGCAAAGCGGCAACGCGCTGCGAGATACAAGGGCATAGGCCATACAGGGACAAATGAACAGATGGGGGAGTCTGAGGGAGGTGGTGGTGTGCAGTTGGAACGCGCAGTGGCGGTGCCAACAGCAAAACAGGCAGTGATGCTGCCATCTGGCGGACGGTGTGACAGCTGCAAATGTGCGGCTGCACTGGGAGACAGGCCTTGCGCACGCTCACGCCTCAAAGAGAGTCACTGTGGCGACGGAGCCGCTGCGCAGCACTTCAAACACGGCGCCGCGGTACGCATAGAGGTGGGTGGGGCCAAAGGGGTGCCGCCCGCCCAGCCGCGTGTGCACCGCGGGCTTGGCGCCCCGCCCAAACGCGGCCTGTATGTCGGCCAGGCAGCTGTCCACGCCCACTCCGGCCGTGCCGGCGCCGCACGCGCCGCTCCAGCGCAGCTGGCCGCCAGCCGCGGCGGAGCGTAGGGGTGCCCCCGCCAGTAGGTGCGCCTGCGTCTGCGTGCCGCTGCTGCGCTGCCGTGGCACGGCCTCATACTCTGCTGTCGCCGCGCTTTCGTCAAAGAGCTCTGGGCTGTCGGTGATGACAAAGGAGTCGGGAGAGTCTGGGGAGGGAGCCACGTCAGCGCCGAGGTGAGCTGGCGCCACCTCAGCGTCCGCGCCCGGCGCTGTCTGCACTGCCGTGCTCACCCGCAGCTTGTCCTGCGGCTGCTGCTGCTGCTGCTGCTGGGAGCGGCCTGTGCTGCCGCCCTGCGCCGCATCGGGGCCAGCACCTGTAGAGATGGCGGCGGCGGCGGCGGCGCCAGCTGGCGCCACCTCCCCCACCATCAGTGCCAGGTCTTCCGCCTCCGACCAGCCGTCAAAGGCGCTGCCGTTGTCCAGCCGCTGCTCCTTGCCCGCAAAGTCGGCGGTGCTCCCCTCACTGCTGTACCCGCTGTGGGGGGTGGCGCCGCCGCCCTGCGGCCCCACGCCCGCCGACGCCGAGGCGCCGGCGCCGCCGGTGGCGGCGATGTGCGACAGGAAGCTGGTCATGCCGGGGGAGGAGGCCAGGGAGGAGGGGGCTGCAGCAGGGGGATGGAGGGGACGAGGCACGGCGAGGGTCGGGGCGCGGCGACGACGGAGTTGTTTTATGGGCCAGAACCAAGGCCAGCATCTCCTCCCGCTGCTGCTGTGGGCAGGCGGCAAACTTCTACTGCTACTAACAGTGTGGGCTGCTGGCATGCCGCCCTGGGCCCCGTGCCGGGCCCTCACCCGAGTCAGCAAAGGAGGCGTCCGTGTCTGTGTCCAGATCTGCGGCGCTCGGCACATCCTCGCTGGCCGCCGCCGTGCCCAGCATCTTGGCCGCCGCCGCCGCCGAGGCCCGCTGCTTCTCCTTCTTCTTCTTCTTCTTGCCGCCCTTGCCGCTGCTGGCGGGCAGCGCGGGGATGGGGTGGGAGGTGGGCGGCCGCGGCGGGCGGCCCAGCGGCACCGCTGCCAAGGAGCTGCCGGCGGCAGCGGCGGCGGTGCCTTCCTCAGCCTGCGCCGCCGCCGGGGCTGGGGCACCCGGCGCCGCCTCTTCCGCTGCCGCGCCATCCAGGGCCGCTGCTGCTGCCGCAGCAGCAGCACCGCCGCTGCCGCCCGTGCCGCCGCCTGGCACCTCCCCGTCAATGTGGATCACATCATCGATCAGGCCCACAAGCATGTTGTAGGCTGCGCTCAGCCCCGACGACGGCGGCTGCGACTGCTGCTGCTGCTGGTGGGCAGAGGAGGGGCTGCCGCCGTCCGCCGGCGGCCCCGCCGGCTCGCCAGCCGCCAGGGAGGCGCCGCCGCTGCCCCCGCCGTGCTGCGCTGCGGCGTCTGTGGCAGCCAGGCTGGCTTCCGAAGCCGCGGTCTGCATGCTGGCCCCTTCCTCGGAGTCTGCAGAGGGCGTGTAGCGAGGAGAGCCTCCAGCGTCGTCGCCGCCGCCGCCGGGCAGGCTCCAGGTTCCCGCCGGGTGCACCCTACGCAGGAGCAAGCCGCCGCGCAGCGATCGTGCGGCGCGTCAGGCAGCCGCAAGCACACGCGCAGCCTGCTCCACACCCTGCACATAGCTGCAAACACCCCGCCTCCACCTTGCCCCGCCGCCGGCGCCCCCATCCACCTCATGTGTGCACGCAGGCGCGGTGCCAGGCAAGACCCCGTGGTGTGCGGCAAGCGGCCCCCTGGCCCTCCCCAGCCACGCTCCTTTCTTCCCTCCTCCCCAGCTCCTCCCCCCCGCCACCCCACACACCTAAGAGCACCCCCCACACCTAAGGGCACCCCCCACAGTACCTGAAATTGCACTTGCAGTACAGCCCAAAGTCGGGGTGTCCGGGTGCGTTGGCGTGCAGCACCAGCTTCTTGAGTCGGTGGCTGCCCCCGCAGAACAGCACATCCAGGCCGCGGGACGGGTAGCAGAAGTAGTAGTCTGGCGCCACGGCAGCCGCCGCCAGTCCGCCGGCGAGCGGGTCAGCTGGCGCGGGCGAGGCGGGGCGGGCGGGGCGGGTGTGCGTGCTGCCCGGCTCGCCCAGTTCGGACACAACATCCTGCGGCGGGGCAGGAGGGGCAGGCGCGCGGCAGCGTCAGCACACAGCAGAGCGAAGGGCTGATCGCGGCAAGCAGCGAAGTTTCTGTTGAGGACGCCGGCGTGCCAAGCAGGGAGGCCGGCAGGCAGCCCTTCCCATCCGCCGCCACGCCGCCGCCTCGCGCACTCGCCTGCGGCGAGTCGCCGAACCGCAGCATCTGGCCGCCGCCGCCAAACAGCAGGCCCTGGCCGGGCACCGCCTCCACGCCTTCAAAGTAGGTGCTGCCGCGCGGCAGCGGCGGCAGCGCCGCCGCCTGCGCCGCCGCCGGCGAGGCCGCCGACCCATGGTGCACGACGATGCGGGCCGCGGGGGTGCACAGCGGCACGGGCAGGTCGGCGCCAGCGGCGGCGGCCCCTTGCGGGCCCTGGCGCTGCTGCTGCTGCTGAGCGCCTTGTTGCTGCTGCGAGCCGGCGGCCAGCGGGAAGAGGAAGAGGACGCCCGGGTACTGCAGCGGGTAGTGCCCGCCCTGCGCCTCCCCGGGGTATGTGGGCCCAAGGGCCTCGCACACGCGCCCAAACGTGGGCGGCTGCGCCGCGCCGCCAAACACGTGCCCGCCAATCCGGATCTGCGGCGGGCAGGCGGGCAGGCGGGCGTGGCGGGGGCGCTGCTGGAGCTGGGGGGGCCTCGATCTGCTGCCCCAACAGCATCCCACAGACGCCGTGCTGCCCCAGGCAGGCACCCTGCGCTGCCGCAGCGACGGCGGCACAGCCGGGAGGCGGCAAGCGGAGACGGCGGCGCACCTGCAGGCGGGTGGTGTCATGCACCTCCACCAGCCGCAGCCGCTGCTGGCGGCCGTCAAACAGCAGGTGGAAGTCGTGCTCCGGGAAGCAGACGGCTATGTCGGCAGCCTGCTGGGCGGGCTGGCCCTGCGCAAAGGGGAGGGCAAAGGCGGCAGGGGGTGGGGGTGGGCGCAGGCGGCGGTGCCACCCGCCCAGCAACGCCAGCCAAGGCCCTGTCCTGCTGATTTCAGCTGAGCGTGGCCTGATCAGGGGCCTCACCTGCTGGGAGGAGGCATACTTGACCTCCACCAGCCGAAAGCTGTTGCGGTGTGAGCGCACCAGCTGCAGCACCTCAGCCAGGCTCTGGCCTGCAGGGGCGACATCCGAGCAGCGCATTGGACCTCTATGTTGCACGGGTGATCAGCGACGCCGCTGCCTCTAGCGGGGCTGTTGAATGGCAACACACGCACCAAGCTTGAAGGGCGCTAGGCCTCCCCCTGGCACCAGCGTGGTGGCAGCCGCCAGCTTGACTTGCTCGTCCCCACAAGCTGCTGAAGCGGGGAGCTCGGAAGGCGAACAGCGCGCCTGCACAGAGCTCAGCAGGAGCACCTCGGTACCCGCAGTGCGAGTCCCAGGCAGCAGCTACACCATGACGCTGGGTATTTACAGCCGGTAGCAGGCGGTGGGAGGGGCTATCGTGATGGCGTGTGTGCTGCGCCGCCAGCGGGGCGCGGATTCTGGGCGCCCTCACATGGAGCTCTCCTCTCACCCCTTGCGGACCCCTGATCCGCTCCACTGTACTCGCAGACCAAACTAGACCTCCACAAGGTGGGTGAGACGTTCAGCCAGCCTGTCCTTGTGTGCGTTGCTCCCAGTTGCTCCCAGCGCCCTCGGACGCCGGCGCCTGCCCCCACAGGCTGCCCCACGTCCAGGCCTGGCCGGTGGACGCCCCTGCCAGCTGGCCCACAGCCCACAGCTAACCTTGTCGCTGCGGCCGGCTTCACGCGGCCGCCAACAACCCCACCCCCACCGCTGCACCATCGCCCGCAGCTTGGCACTATGAGCTACGAGCTGGTGCCCAGCCAGGAGGCAGCCCTGCCGGCCGTGCCCACTGGGCGCAACACTCGCGGCCGCGCGCAGACCAGGAAGACCAAGGTGCGGCGCCCCTCCCCGGGTCGCTCCAGCCGCCCTGCTCGCCGCCTTGGCTGGGCACGCCTTCTGGAAGTGGAACCACCGGCTGTTGCGCCCTGCCTGCCCGCAGCTCGTGGAGCACACGACCCAGGAGGAGGACACTCACGCCGGCGACCATGTGGAGATCCACCAAGTCAGGCAAGGGGCCTCGCTGGCCAGCCCTGCAGCACGCTGGGGAGCAGCACGCTGGTGAGTAGTCTGCAGCACGGTGGGGAGCACGCTGGCCAGCCCAGCAGCAGCCAGCGTCTGCAGCACGCTGGGCAACCGCATGCCTGCAGATGCTGGGGAGCCGCATGCTGCCACACGCAAGCTGCACCCTGGGAGTTGGCCCGCCCTGGCCCACGGGCCCCTCCGCCCGCCCTCCTGCCTGCCCGCCCGCCTCCCCAGCAGGGAGGTGCAGGAGGTGGTGAAGAAGGTGGCGGTGGTGCGCAAGGGGCGAGGGCGGCGCCACGCCGCGCAGAGGCAGGAGGAGGAGGAGGCCGAGCGGGCGACGGCGGCAGAGGGAGAGGAGGCGACGGCAGAGGGAGAGGAGGAGGCGGCGGCGCCATCCCGGAGGTCTGTCCTTCTTCTGGGGCTGGCCTCCCTGCTTCCCCAGCCTCTTCAATTCGCAGCTGCATGGCGGCAAACGGGGGCCAGCAGCCACACCCTCCAGGCACGGCTGGCCCAGGGCGGTGCTGCCCCTACCCTCCCGTGGCACGTGTGCACACCCTGGCATCTCCCACTCCCAGGCCGGCCCTGCTGTGCCCTTGGCCCCTCCCCGCAGAGTGACGCGCCGCATGGATGCCGAGCTCAAGCAAGCCATGGAGCGGGATCTGGAAGCCATGGCGGGCACGCCCGGCGGCGCACACAGGCATGCCGGCTGCGGGCCGGCGGGGCGCTGCCCGGCGGCATGCGCAGCTCGCCCTGCCTGTGGCTCGCGTGCTGCTGGCTGGCGAGTCCCAGCCGCATGCTGTGCCTGCTTTGCATGCACCTCGGCCCAGCGCAGGACCTGGAAGCGTGTGGTGGTGGAGGGCGGCACCGCGCCGGAGCCCTCGGGCATGGAGGGGGAGGGAGAGGAGGAGGGAGGGGAGGTGCAGGTGGCGGTGCAGCCCGAGCAGCCGCCCGGCGGCAGCCAGGCGGCGCCGGCCCGCCGCAGCACCCGCACCCGGTCCCAGCCCCGCTTCCACGCCGAGGCGGTTGCGACAGGTGGGGCCTGGCCCGCCTGGCTGGGCGCAGCCGTGCCAGCACCAGCCCAGCCCCAGCTCCCAGCAGGGCCAGGCCCGCATGCCAGCGGGGGCCCGCCCCGCCCAGGCCCAGGCCACCCTGTGTCTTGAGGCTGCTCCCCTCCCCCGCCTGGCCCCGCAGGCATGCCGCCGGGCGAGGCGCTGGAGCCGCGCGTGCCCAGCGCCGTTCTGGAGGAGGCGATGAAGGAGATTGGGCAGGAGGGGCAGGAGGAGGCGGAGGCAGAGGCCGAGGACCTGGCTCATGGGGAGGAAGAGGCGGAGGAGGAGGGAAAAGGGCAGCCCGCGGGCGAGGAGGAGGGGCATGCGGAGCCAGAGGTGGGGCGGGTCGGGTGCCTGCTGCCCGCGATGCCGCCGCTGGCAGCTGCCGCGGTGAGCGCTGACGCTGCTTCCATTCGCCTCTGCGCCTCTGCGCGCCATCAGTGCAAGGCTCGCCCGCAACAACACGCGCCCACCTCTGCTGCGCTCGCGGCCTCCACTGTGATGCCTGCTGCTGCCTGCCCGCCCCCCGCCGCAGCTCTACCCGCCGCCTGAGGACCTGGCGGCGCTGGAGGCCACTCCCGAGGATCTGCTGATGCCGACTGGCCGCGGGGCAGGCCTGGCAAGCCAGGAGGCGGCGGCGGAGGTGGCGGAGCAGGAGGAGGCGCAGCAGGAGGAGGCGCAGGAGAAGCCGCCGGCGGAGGCGGCCGCCCTTGTCAGCCCCTCCACCCGCCGCAAGCGCAAGGCGCCCGGCGTGGACGTGGCAGCGGCGGCGACAGAGCCGGTGCCCGCTGGACTGCCTGGCGGCGGCAGGGCCACCCGCCGTGGTCGCCTGTTTGCTTCTCAGCCGGAGCGGGCCGTGGCAGCCGAGGCGCCAGCCCAGGCTGCTGCCGAGGAGGAGGAGGCGGCGCCGGCAGAGGGAGGGGAGGGGATGGAGGAGGAAGTGGCGGGGGCGCAGGTGCGGGAGGGTGGCAGCCGTGGCATGTGGATGTAGCCGCAAGGCGCTGTGCCAGCTGGGGGCATGAGGTGTCCCTAGCGCCGGCAGCGATGCGCCAGCTTGCGTGGGCGTCGGCCTGGGCCTGGTGAGGCCTGAGCCCCGTGTGGCGCCTGCCCTGGGTGCTGCCTGCTGCCCACTGAAGCAGGAGGAGGAGCTGGAAGAGGTGGAGGGAGAAGAGGAGGAGCAGGAGATGGCTGAGGGGGAGGAGGGGCAAGCAGCCGAGCCAGCTCAGCCCAGCGCCGCACGCGAGGCTGTGTTGGGCGCCGCCGGGGCGGTGGGCACCATCCTGCGCAGCGTGCTGGGCGGCGGGCGCGCCCAGGTGACTCGCGGCGCCACCCCGCGCTGCCTGGGCTGGGCTGCGGTGCCCAGGCAGCGCTGGTTGGCGCTGTTGGCTGCACTGCGGGGCCCAGGCAGCACTGGTTGGCGCTGTTGGCTGCACTGCGGAGCCGCAGCCTCAGCAGACTCGGATCGCCTTCACACTGACACCACCAGCTGACATCCCTGCCACCTCCTGCTGCCATGCAGGCTGAGGAGCGCCCCCGCACCGCCACTAAGGTGCCAGCAGCCCAGGCGCCGGCGGCCAAGGGCGGTGTGGGCAAGAAGGGAGGCAAGAAGGTGGGCGGCGTGGCCAGCCAGCGGGGCCTCGGGCGCAGGGCCCAGCAAGCTACCCTGCCTCGGTGCCTTGCTGTGCACCTGCCGCTGCTGGCATCTCACCCCGTCCTCTCCCGCCTCCACGCCCGCGCGCTGCCCCCGCTCCCTGCAGGCGCAGAGGCGCGGCGGCGGCAAGGGCAGGGAGGAGAGCTACAAGCGGTACGTGCACCGCGTGCTGCAGCAGGTGCACCCCGGGCTCAACATCTCCTCCCGCGCAATGGAGGTGGGCCGCGCTAGCAGCTGCCACGCGGCCGGCAAGCACGCCAGCTGGCTGACAGCCTGTTTCCTGGTTCTTCCGACACTGGCCTGCCTTGCCTTGTCTTTGCCTCGCCTTGTCTTTCCTTGCCTGCCTGCGGATGGGCCGCCTGCCCTTGCACTAGTGCAGCCTCTGCCCTGATCAGCCTCCATCCAGCGTATGGCCGTACCGCCTGCTTGCGTCTGTGTACCGCAGGTGATGCAATCCTTCATGGTGGATGCCTTTGATCGGGTGGCCGCCGAGGCCTCCCACCTCACTCGCCACGGCAAACACAAGACGCTGACGGCGCGCGAGGTGCAGGCAAGTGGCCGGGGGCCTGCCGCGGGAGCGGGGAGGCTGGCTGCGATGCATCCATATGGCTGTGAGCAGCGCTGTGGCCGACGGGCTCGCGCAGCCGCTGCTGCCGGCCACTAGCGCTGCCTGCTGAGCAGCAGGTGCACCTGCTCCGTGCCTCCTCTGCCTGCCTGCCTGACCTGCAGACGGCTGTGAAGCTGGTGGTGCCCGGCGAGCTAGGCCGCCACGCGGTGACGGAGGGGAAGAAGGCGGTGGCGCGCTTCTCGGGGCTGCAGTAGGGGCACGCCGCCGGGGCGTTGGACCACACCACGCCTGCACATCCTGCACAATGGCGTGCGGTGCTGGATCGGTGCTAGTGTACCATATAGGGGGCCCTGTAGTTGGTTGTTTGTTAGCGACACGGGTTGCTGCTGCCCCCAGATCGCCACCTGCAAAGCTATTCCTGTGCCATTTGCGTAGGATGACATTGTAATGGTAGGGCAGTGCTGCTGTAGAGTCGAGGCTGCTCTAGGACAATCCTAGGGACCCCCCACGCCCCGTGCCGCAGGCGTTGGTCAGCCGCCACCTGGCGCAGCACTCGTAGCATGGCAGAGCTTCTTCTGATTCAACACCCTTGTTCCAATATTCCACCGCTCCTTCGTGGCTGGCCATCTCCTGTCGCCCCTTCTCACTTTCGGCGGGCCTTGAGCGGGTGGCTGGGCGTAGGAGACGAAGGGAGCTTGCCCTCGCAGTGCCTTTGGCCAGGTGGGTGCGTCTGTGGGCGTGCCGTGGGCATTGGGACACGCCCCGCCATTCAGGATCACTTTGGCTGGTGCGCCAGGCGGCCCGCAGCCCCGATCCAGCGCGTAGCATTGCCTGCAGTACTTGCCGGCAGGTGTAAGGATTGCACAATCCGAGAGCGCCTGGATCTGGCGCCTGTGCACCCTCCCAATTGCTCTTGGCACCACCCTGCAGGCCCCTGCAGTCATCCCATCCAGGGCGAAGCTGATCAAAGTACAAAGGCACCCGGAGCCCCGCCTGCCTCGACTCCACACGCTTTCAGAGGTGGGCAAAGGCAGACCCAATCACTTGCCGGCGCGTCCAACCCGCTCAGTCCACCCCCGGCAAAGTCGAGCCCAAGCCAATTGGGTCCAGCCCTCTGGGCAGTTGGCAGCCGTAGTTGGTAGCCGCAGAGAGGTCAGACGCTTCGATCGGGCCGCGGCCCGCCGCCTGAGCGGCCTCCGCATAGGCCTTGGGCCCAGCGCCTACGCCGCCGCCGCACACAGCTCTGCGCCAGCGCCCTGGGACAGGAGCGCCCTGGGACAGGAGCGGCCGCAGGCGCAGCCCGTGGCCTGAGCACCCGCGTGGTGGCCCCTCCCTGCAGATCCCTGCCAGGCCACGCGCCGAGCTCTCCCATGAGGAGCAGCAGCCTGATGCCCGGCGCCTTCAGCGGCACCCTGCTCGAGTCCGACCTGCTCGCCGCGTCGGCGCCAGGCGGCGGCGCCCCCGCCTTCCTGGGCAGCAGCGAGGACGCGGGCGCCGCCTGCGACCCCGCCATCTTTCTGGTGGACGACCCGGAGCCGCAGGGAGGGCCCCAGGCCGCCTCCACCACCTCGCCGCCCGGCGTCGCGCGCAACCCGGCCCACGCCTCGGCGCCCGCGCCCCACCCCGGCGCGCCGCAGCCCGCCAGCCTGATGGTGCCGCAGGGGCCGCAGGCGGCCAGCGCCCGCGACCTGCTGCGCGAGCTGGAGAGCTCTGTGGACTTCATCCTGCCGGGACAGTCCTTGGACAGCCTGCTGCTGGACGCGGGAGACGGCTGGCACAACTCGCCGCCGGCGCCGTCCCCCGGCACGCCCGCCGCCTGGCAGGCAACCTCCTCCTCCTTCCCCGCCATCCCCGAGGAGGCGGAGCTGGCGCTGGCGCAGCTGCAGCTGGCGGCGCCGCTGCCGGGCGTTTCCATGGGGGCAGACAGCCTGGGGACCCCGGCATTCACCCTGCCGGCGCCCTCGCCCGCGTCGATGTTTGTGCCGGTGTCCGCCCCAGCCCCCAGCCCCGCTCCCACGCCGGCGGCGGCGCCTCCGGAGCCGCTCTCCAAGCTCAAGCTGCCCGGCAGGTGAGCTGGGGCTGCCTGCCTGCCTGCCTGCCTGCCATGCTGCAGTGCTGCTTTGCTCCGCTTTCACTCTGCTGCTGGGGCACGATCGCCACCTGCTACTCACCTGCCCCCCTTTAGAGAACAGTGCTTGAGTTTTTGGTTTGAAACGAAACTAATATTTTAGCCCTTCTGCCACCCGTGGTGCAGCCCCGTGGCCACCACTGACGCCGGCGGCAGCAGCAGCAACAGCGAGGCCGCCTCCCCCACCGCCTCCTCCGCCTCCTCCCTGCAAGGCCTGCCCACCGGCGGGGGCAGTGCCGCCTACCCGCGCATCGCATCCATGCCCAACCTTCACCTCAGGTGCGCTGCGCTCCCCGCCCTACTGCCCGCCGTGACCGGGATCCGCCTGGGGTGCCTCGTCCTGCCGCAGCCCCATGCTTGCCAGGCCCCTTACTCTTACCTTTCCCACAGGTCCCACCGGTCCCATGCTGCGCTGCCCTGCCCTCTTCCTCCCCATCCCCCTCACGCAGCCTGAGCGAGGCGAGCAGCGGCTCCCCGGCCCCAGCCCCGCGCAGGAGGGCGTCGGGGCGCAGCAGGGCCATGCCCCGCTCCCACTCGCACAGCGACCTGGCCACAGGCGAGGCACAGGGCTTCACCTGCACTGCACTGTGCTGCCTTGTTGCGCCATTCTGCCCATGCGCCTCGGCAACCGCGCGGATCGAGGCACCCCGCTCACTTGGACCGCGCTTGTTGCTCTGGCTCCCCATGCAGGCGCCGCCACCCGTGGCGCCGCCTCCCATGCCGGCGGCAGCGGCGAGCTGGAGCGCTACAACGTGCCGCACCTCCAGTTCCTCACGCCGCCGCACCTGCGCAAGGGCAAGGGCGGGCGCCAGCCTGCCATCGACCCACGCCTGGTGAGCCGCCTCGCCCAGCCAGGCGCACGGCGCGTCGGCGCCCGGGCTGCCGCAGCCACGATTGCTTCTGCTCTTGCCTCGCCGCACACTCGAGCCGCTCCTCTGCTTTACTGCGGTAGCTGAGCGCTGTGTGCATGCTGTGCATGCTGCGCTGCGCTGTGCAGGACCCCTCCATCGACCCCAAGCGCGCCCGCCGCATCATGGCCAACCGCCTGTCCGCCGCCAAGTCCAAGATGAAGCAGAAGAGCGTGGCGCAGGTGGGGGCCAGGCAGCCGCGCGGGGTAGCGGCGGATGGGGAGGGGTGGCAGGAGAGCGAAGAGCGTGCGTCCCGGTAGCAGCACCCAGCGCAGCGTGCGTCCTCGCAGCGGCGCCTCACTCCTGCTCCCGCCCTCCCTCGTGCCGCCGCACGCAGGCTGAGGCGCAGCGCGCGGAGATGCTACGGCTGCAGCGCGAGGGGCACCTGCCGGAGGGGGAGCCAATGGAGGTGGCCCAGGAGGCGCCCGCGCCGCGCAGCCGCTGAAGCGCCTGCAGGCGCTGACGAGCTAAAGTTGCAGGCACGCAGGCCTGCAGGCACCGATTGCTGGTGCCCCGCATCCATGCGTCTTTCATGCACATCTCTTTCATGCACACCTCTCCGGAACACACACACAACGCCCATGCCCATTGACATACACAAACACAAAGCTCCCATTATCCAGCTTGAATAACCCTGTACACCAGCCAGTGTGCCAGGCATGCCCCTGTGCACTGCTTTGCTTTGCTGCTTCTTCAAGGTCTCGGTTCCCTTGCCTGTGTCCTGTTCTCACCCTGCCTAGCTCCTGTTGTCTGCTTCCCATCTCCTCCGTTTGTTGCTCTGTTCTGCCCTGCCCACCCCACAAACTCCTCTGTCTTGTGTACCTCCCCTCGTCTACCCCCCTTATGCACTAATGATTAAATCGTCTCCCCTGTGCTGTGTGTTTCCTGTACCCGACCCGGCAGCAAGCCCACGCCTGTTCATGCACTCTCTATTGTTGAGTCCCCATTGGGCCATGCCCCATGTTGCGCCCCCCTCAATCCTCTTGCTCATTGCTTTCATACTCTTCCGCCAGTTGCAGAGCCGTCGTAGAGCCTCACACCGGATTCATCTGCACATCGCATTCTCCCTGCCAGGCCGCCGCGTGGCGCCTTGCTGCCGTGGGGTGCAGGCCCCTTTTGCAAATTGGTGTGCCCAGACTGCCTGTATTGACGTGTAACACCGGCGTTGCACCCTCGCCATACCAAAGCACCCGCACAAACCAACACAGCTCAAACACCACAAGCTGGGCCTAGTCGCTCCAAGTCGCCGCCAGCCCCGTGCTGCCTCACTGCGGCGCCGCTGCCCCGTCCAGGCGCTCCCTGGTGAACTGCTCGGTGAAGGCGTCTGCGCCCACCAGGCGGAAGCGGCGGCCGTGCAGGTCCAGCACCGTGCCCACCTTCATCTCCGCCTCCGTGTACCACGCCTGCAGCGGCGGCGTGTGCGGGCGGCAGTGCTGGCGAGCTCAGGCGCGCCGCCCCCAGCACCCAACCGCCACCCAACCGCCGCCTCGGCAGGCGTCCCTTTTCGCTGGTCCTGCGCGGCCCGCTGCTGCTTGCTGGTGTGTGTGTTACGTGTGTGCGCAAGCAGCGCGTATGCCCGGCCGCCACCCACCAGCTTGCTGCCCGGCTTGTACACCTTGGCCCGCTCCAAAAACTTGCCGCCCGGCAGGCCCGTGTTGGGCTGGGGCGGCTCAAACACAGACAGCGTCTGGTCTGCAGGGGGCAGGCCACGCGCACAGAGGACGACGTTACACGACATTGGCACAGCCTATGCCTGGCAAAGACGTGCACTCAATTGATGCATCGCGCCTCCCAGCCGCAAGCGGCGGGCAGAGGGCCAGCAGGCGCACCCGACATGAAGAAGGAAAGCACGAAGCGGCGCTCACGGTCGATGTTGATCAGCTTGCGCCCCTCGGCAGGCTCCAGTACCGCCTCATACCGCAGCACAACGGTATCCTGTGACCAGGCAGGCAGGCAGGCCGGATGACACGAAGGCAGGCAGCTTAGAAGCGCAGACCCTGGTGAGTGTGAGTGCCAGCCAGGAGGCAGCCTGCCCCTGTGAAGTCGCTGCACCGGGCATCGCCTCCTGCACAGGAACCGCAGCCGCCGCCTCCCCTGCCGCCTCCTCACCAGCGTCTGCCAGCGGTAGTGGTCGCGCTTGGGCGGCTTGGGCACCAGGCGCAGGCAGTTCTGCAGCGTGTCCTCGGGGCTGCCGATGCCCAGCCCGTGCCGGGCGGGCGGCAGCTCCGGCACAGGCAGCACCTTTGCAGGCTCGCTGACGTCGATGGGCGCCAGCAGCTCGGGGGCGAAGCCCAGGTGCTCCTGCGGGGGCAGGCAGGCAGGCGCCCAGGCAAGCAGGCGGGCGCGTGGTCGGCGGGGGCCGCCGCGCATGGCGCAGCAGCCAGCCAGGGCGGCTGGCAAGCAGGAGCGCGGCCGCAGCTGGCGACAGCCGGGCGGCATACACAGAGGCACCGCCTTGCAGCCTGCAGCCACGCCTGCCCCACAACCCCACCCACACACCGTGTACCACTTGCGGGTGGCATCGTCGCAGTCGTAGATGTACAGCTGGCGGCCCAGCACGCCCAGCGTGGCGCCGATGCGCAGGTCCCCCGGCGCATAGCACTGGTCGGCGGCCAGCCGGTTCTGGCCCGGCAGCGCGCCGCCCACCGCCACCCGCGGCAGTGGGCCGCGCTTGAGGAAGGTGGGGAAGCCGGTGCGGCCGCTGTTGGGCTCAAACACTTCCATGATCTCCGCCTGCGGGCGTGGCAGGGCGGGGCAGGTGGGCTAGGCGGCACGTGGCACGTGCGCTCCGGCACAGCACAGCGGGCAGCAGTGGGGGGCTCTGCCATGCACCCCAATGGGTCGGGGGGGGGGGGGGGGCACTAAAAATTTGTTCCCCGTTAAATCCCCCCCAAAATATGCACCTTGTAAAGGTGCCTGCGGGCAGGGGCCCCCCCCAGGCACCCCCCCCTGAGGGGCAGCCCCTCCCGAGGCTGAGGACCACATGCAGGCTCCTGGGGCCCCCGCCTCCCCCTGCCTGCCACGCCCAGCCACGCACCTGTCCCCAAACTGCGCCTGCCTGTCGTCCCACAGGACATAGAAGCGCAGCACCTCGCCGCCGTGCTGCAGGAACTGCTGCAGGCTCTTGCTGTTGTACTCCCGCCCCAGCAGCGCCTCGGCAAACTTGGAGGGGGAGTCGGGGTCGGCGCGGCTCAGGCCTGCGGCAGGGGGGCAGGCAACAGGGACGGCGCTGAGCGGGAGGAGCTCGATATGGATGGCGGAGCCCTGCTGAATGCGGCAGAGCCTCAGGGCGCCAGCAGGGGGCTGCCACCCACGACGCACCCGAGGGCTTGGACTTGGCTGCCAGCACCTCCTCGATGGGCGACACGGGGCAGGGCTGCGCCGGCGCCAGCTGGATGCCGTGCTGCGCGGCATGCTCGCGGGTGAAGGCATCCGCATCCACAATGTGCACCTCCCTGCGCCCAGGGGCAGCAGGCCCAGCAGCAGCGCGGGTGAGGCCTGCCAGGCTGGTGGGCGTTTGCTGACGCGCGCGCCAGCCAGCATGGCAAGTGGCCTGGCAGCAAGAAAGCAGCAGGCGCTCGGTCCGGGCTTACTTTCCATACACCTTGACGCTCTGCCCCACCGCCATGTCGGCCAGGCCCAGGAAGCCGCCTCCCTCCTTGGGCAGCTTGTGCCTCCGCACCAGCGTGCCCTGCAACCCGTGCAGGCAGGCAGGCAGGCAGGCAGCGTTGATGCTGTGGTGTGCAAGGGAGGCAAGCAGGCCTATTGCTGTGCTGGCCGCCATCACAGGTGCCTGCTCTGTGCCAGCTGGCCCAGCCCGAGCCCAGCCAGCTCCAAGCCCTGCCCTGCGCAGCCACCTGCATGATGCCGCTGTTGGGCGCAGGCGGCTCGGTGACCTGCACCGTCTTGTCCTCCAGGTACAGCAGCACCTCCACCCTGCGCACACGCCACGACTCCAGCGGGCTGTCCGACACCGGCTCGCCAAACCAGCCGTAGAAGCGCAGCACCTGGCGGGGTGGGGCGCGGCAGCGGCCAGGGAGGGGAGGGGGCACCTGGCTCAGGCACACCTAGAAGAGCATGCGCAGTCGCTTTGCAGCGCTGCATTTCTCGTGTATCTTGTGTGCCACTTCTATGTCGCCTGTGCGATTGCTGATAAATGGCACTTGCTGCTCACCTTCTTTTCAAGCGCCACATACTTGGGCTCGAAAGTGGGGGCAGCACTGCCGGCTGGCGCGCCAGGCTGCGCCGCCGGCACCGTCCACATCTCCTCAAACTTGTTTGCCACCGCCGCCATCGCCTCCTCCTCCCCCTTGCGCAACGGCAGCGGCACTGCGTAGCCGTTGCGATACTGCAGGGTCTGCGACTTGGGGCGCCCTCCTGTCGCCTGCACCATCAGGGGCGGGCGGAACGGCACTGAGTGGTTAGTCTTGAATTAGCGCAGAAAAAGCTTCAAGCTGCTGGGGGCATGCCCCTCGGCTTACTGGCTCGCAGACGCTGTAGCCTGGCAGCTTGGGTATGGACGTCTCACTGTGGCAGCTCATCTTGGCGGCTCTTTTGAGTCGCCCTGCAACCGCAGAGAGGCGGTGGCGCCGCGCGACGGTTGGCGTGCAGGGGCTGGATGATTTATTCAGTTTGCAGCTTCCTGCCTCCAGCTGCTCACGCAGGCACAGTTCTGGCCTCCAGGGGCCGGTCAGCGATCGAGTCGCTGCTCGATGCGAGGTGGTGGGCGGGGAGCTATTCACCGCGCAGCCTCTTCTACACTCAATTCACAGCAGTCGCAACGCCAAAAGGTCGCTGAAGAACCCGCCGGAGCCCCGCCGTAAGCTGAGGCGGCCCCCGCCACACAACCCAGTTGTGGCTTCAACAGGAGGCTGCAGCAAGCTGCAGGCAATGTGAGGTGAAAGAGCACTCCGAAAGCAATGGGCGGCCAAGTCGCCCGGCGGAGCAAAGAACCCCCGCCGCCAGGCTGTCGGGCGCCGGCGCCGCCGTCCTTCGTCGTGCCTGGCCCACTCAACCTTACAGAATCACTTTAAACCGGAAGCCACTGTCAACCGCCTCATGGCAGCCAACCTTACACTCAACGGCTAGCCCGCTGCCGCGGCCAAGGCACGTCAGTGCCGAGCGAAAAATAGTGGAAACGGCGGAGGAGATGAATGGCGGGATTGTTGCAGTGTGCAGGGCAGAGAGAGCAGATGCAGCACAGAGAAAAAAGAGGAGTAGAGCACAGCTAGCAGCGGGGCGCAGGCGGGGACGGGGCGGGCCGACCAAGGAGCGGGGTTTGGCGCCGCTGCGCTCCACAAGCCACCCCCGGTCGTCCAGCTCAGCAGCCCATCACTTGCAGAAGTCTGTGTAGCCATTGGAGTCCATCAACCCATCCAGCTGCGACGCATCTGCCAGCTTGACCTTCACCATCCAGCCCTCGCCGAAGGGGTCGGTGTTCACCTGCAACCAAGACGGCAAGCCAAGTGCGGGAGGCGCGGGTGCTGTCGGTGTCGCTGGGGCAAGATGGATGAATGCATGCAGTGCAGCATGCGGTGCGCCAGGCTGCCTTGGTGCTTCTCGCACAGCGCTGCATGCATGCATGCATGAACTGCATGCCGGCACAGGGACCACCATGCCAGTGAGCCACCTGCGCCCAGCCAGCCAGCCAGCCAGCCAGCCGGCCGCCACCCACCTTGGAGGAGTCGTCAGACAGCGCGCTGTTCACCTCGGTCACCTCACCCGTGACTGGGGAGATGACGTCGCTGGCCGCCTGCAGGCCCAGGCATCGAAGCGCGCGCGGATGGGTGGTTGTCGCCCGCCCGGCACGCGGCGAACGTGGCATGCATGCGCACGCCACTGAACTTGCAAGCTGCTCCCTCTGCCTTGCAAAGGACTGCCCGATTCCATGCACAACCAAAGCCTCACAACAGGCATGCAGCGAGGCAGGGTTGCGGGCAGCAGGGGTGGCAGCACACAGCTGTGCCGCACCTTGACCGACTCCACCACACTAAACCGCTCGCCCGCAGTCACGGTGGACCCCACCTCTGGCAGCTCCACATACACCAGGTCGCCCAGCTCCTCCTGCAGCGGCCAGGCAGGAGAGGAGGGCTGCGCTGCTGAGCAAGCCTGCAGCAGAGCTGGCCGAAGCGCCCACCCGCCCGCCGCTGCCGCCCGCCCGCCCACGCACCTGGGCAAAGTCGGTAATGCCCACAACCGCGGTGTCCCCCTCCAGCTTCACCCACTCGTGGTCCTCGGAGTACTTGAGGCCCTCCAGCACTGCAGCAAGCGGCAATCCTCCCACCCCCTTATCGCCTGTCTGCCTCCAAGGGGCCCGCATTGGGTGCGCTGGCCGGTGATCGCACCCCGTCACCCACCTGTGGCATACCCCCGCACCGCCAGCGACCGCAGCGTCGAGCTGCTGTCGGCCAGCAGGGGCGCGCCGCAGCGCAGGCCCAGGCCGCCCACAGCCTTCTTGGCGAAAGCTGCCAGAGCCATGGCGATCGGGCAGGGGGAGATGGGGTGCGGGGGGCCCGGCAGGCGGCATCAAAATGCGCCATCACCGTGTTTTCCACCGCCCCAGTTTTTCCCGTGTGAGGGCGCCCCGGGCTCCTCCCGCCACTCCACTCCCCCAGGCCAATGTCTGAGGACTCCAGGTTAGCTCCCGGCAGCTTCGTGCTCTATTCGCCGCCCCGCGGGCGCCTGGGCGGCCTGTTCCAGAGGCTCTCCTCCGGGAGCTCCAGCGACACTGGCGGGGAGCGCGTCAAAGCGTTGCTGAGGTGCGAGAGGCGGCGGTCGCGTGCCTGCAAACCTCAACTCAGACCGGCATTACCCACGCTCGCCTGCCGCTGCAACCTGGCCTCACAGCCGCCCACCACCACCCCTACCGCAATGCAGGAGCTCCAGCGGCTCTGACCGCGAGGGCTCCCTGGGCAAGTCCCCCGCGGCGGCGCCGTCCCCGCTCACTGCCGCCCTCTCCCCGCTCACGGCAGGCGCCGTGGCCGGCAGCGCCGCCAACTTCGCGCTGGCCGGCGGAGCCTGCCTGGTAGTGCGCTTCGGGCTGTGCGAGGTGGCGGGGCTGGGCCTGCACCACCTGCAGCCCAACGTGCACTACGAGCCCGCGACCCGCACCGCCTGCGTCTTCAGGTGAGCGCAGAACCCAGCGCCCGGCCTCGCGCGCCCGGCAGCCGCCCCGCAGCCGGCCAGGACAGCAACACAGGGCCTGCGGCGCCGCTTGCAGACCGGAAAACCTCGCGCACTGCGGCCAGGCGCCGCCGCAGCGGGTTGCACCCCCGTCCCGCCTCGCTGTGCAACCCCTTAACGCAACGCCTGCTGCCATCTCACACACTCTCACACACACACACACACACACACCTGCCCCCTGCAGCGGACACCTTGCCAACCTGGACGAGCTGGCCGACCGCTACACCAACGACTCGTTTGCTGAGGGGCCCGGCAGCCCGTCATCCATCCTGGCGGCGCGCGCCGACCCTCGCCAGCTGGCGGCCGAGACCATCCTGCGCATGTACCTCAAGGAGGCCAAGGAGCGAGGCGGGGACCTGCTGGTGCTGCTGTCGGAGCTGCAGGTGGGTGCTGGGTGCCCGCCCGCGCCGGCGCCCCAGCCTGCACACCGCCGGCCTGCGCATGCCCTGTGTGCTGGCTGCCCCGCCCCGCCGCTTCGCGCGCTGCCTGCCGGCCAGCCCCGACCGTGCCCTTCCCCTCTGGCCCCTGCCCTGCCCCCGCCCCTGCCCCCGCGCAGGGCCAGTACTCGTTTGCGCTGTTTGACGGCGACAAGCGCTGCGTGTTTGCGGCGCGCGACAGCAGCGGCAGCGAGCCGCTCTTCTACGATCTGGCGGAGGACGGCGCGCTGCGCCTGTCCAACAGCCAGCCCCCGCTGCCGGCGGACGAGGGGGCCGTCCAGGAGCGCGTCCAGGTGCGGCGGCCAGGCCTGCATGGGGATGGGGGCAGGGATGCCTTTGCGTAGCCTGCTGCTGGGAGGGGACCAGTGCAGCAGGCTGCGTGCTGGACCCGCCTGCTGGCAGCCCTGCGCCACGCCTCGCTCGCCGCGCCGCCCCCGACCCTGCCCACCGCTGCCGCCGCGCCGTGCAGTGGCTGGAGCTGCCCCCCGGCCACTTCATCAGCGGGCGCAGCCCCAAGGTGCAGCAGTTTGCGCTCACGCCGCAGCAGCTGACGATACGAGAGAACTACGAGCGGTCCATGGACGAGGAGATGAGCCCGCGCTTCTCGGCGCTGGGCATGGCCGGCATGGACTCCGACCTGCGCCGCTCGCTGTCCCCCCCCGACCGCAACAGCTACCTTGACCTTGTATACTAGGTGTATACTAGGAGAGAGAGGGCGGGGGGCAGGCGCTCGCCACGAGCGCCCGCCCGCCCGACGCGGCACGCGAGCGTGTGCCCCCACCCCCCCGGCACACCACCCCCCGCTCCAGCCCAGCGTACCACCCCTTGTTTCCAGCTTCCAGCTTCCAGCAGCGCCGATGCAGAGGCGCAACATCACGAGATGACGACACCCGCCAGGGCCGGCCCGGCCGCCCTCCCGCCGATGTGGCATACCAGTATCGCACTGTAGCAGTCCCTCTCTGCCCTTGCCCTACCCTGCCCTTGCCCTGCCCCGCCAGCGAGCAATCCTAATCTCAGTCCTACAAATGTCGAAAGACGCGCTTTGTCCTTTTCCCCTCCCCCAACGCTTGCGAATTCCTGTGCCGCACCAAGTATACCGCCTGCGGCCAGCTGCCCAGGCTTCCTTTGCTACTCTGTGCCCCTCTTCAGCCTGCCCCTGCTCGCATTCATTTGCCCTGTTCCCCGGCACCCCGTTTCCGGCCACCCTTCCTGGAGCCGTCTGTGAAGCGCTTTTGCAGTTTTACAGTGGGTCAACAGGACAGGAGGCTGAGCAATCCCATCGTCATCAAATGGCAGGGTGCAGCTGGCTGGCAGGGGCCTGGGACGGCATCAAATTGGGCTGCAGGCGGCGGTAGCGGCTGGGCTGACGAGAAGGGGAGTGGGTGAAAAGCAGCGAGGCAGGGATAGGTGAAGCAATGGGTGCATTCATTCATTGAAAACTGGCGCTCTCGGGGGAGATGAAGAGCAGGGTGCTACACATTCACAGGGCAGGCGCGCAGCGAGGCTGCTGGATGGCTGAGACACCGGGTGGAGCGCAGCGCGCTGCGCGGGGTTGCGAGGCCGGCGGGGCCGCGCCTCGGGCCAGGCTCATGCTGCTGGTAGGCCTCAATTCGAACAGGCCGAGGGCGCTTGGTGCTGCAGAGTCAGGCCAGTGGCCAAGGACTGCGGGTGCAGCGGTGGCGCAGCGCGACGGCTTCACTCCTCATCGCCGGCATGCGCCCGCGCATCCTCCGCCAGCTTCAGCGCCTCGGCCACCGACACGCGCGCCCTGCGCACAGAGGCGGGGGCGGCGGCAGGCGAGGGTGGGCCGCAAGCGTGGCGGCAGAGCGCCACAGCACCACGCCCAGCCAGCCATCCAGCCGGGCGGCTGCCCCCTCCCCAGCCCATCCCACACCCGCCCATGCCTGAGCCTCCTCTAACTAATCTCCACTCTGTCCCACCCTGCCCCACCCAGCACCACCCCCCCACCTCGACTCCACCAGCTCCTGCACAAACGTCTCCAGCTTGCGGATGGTGATGTTGGGCATAACCACGACGTGCGCAATGTCGCCCTCGCACGCCAGCTGCCACTTGCGCACAAACGACTCCTCCCGCGGCCGCTCAAACACCACCGTGCTGGACAGCTCGTTCAGCATCGTGCGAACGCCGGCCGTGTCCAGCATCGACTGCGGGGAGGGCACGGCGAGGGCAGGGTGAGGGCAGGGGAGGGCAGGGGAGGGCAATGCCTAAGCGCTGAGGTGCGGCCAGACATGGAGCAGGCGGGCCGCTGCCCGAGCGCCGGCAACGACCCCCGGCGCACGGGCTGCGCAGCGCCGGCTGGCGGGCTGCAGCGGCAAGGGCTGCTGCGGCGCTGGCTGGCGGGCGGCAGGAGCGGGCGTGCGGGCGGCGGCCGCACCTTGAGCAGGTGCGCATTGCGCAGGCACTTCTCCACATCCTTGCGCAGGCCCTCGTAGCCCTTGCGGGTGAAGGTGTACCTGCAGGCAGGAAGGGGGCAAGCGCAGTGGGGGCAGGTCAGCGGCCGGGGCGGCGGGGGCGGACGCGGGACACAGCCGCGGAGCGAGCCCGCCAGCCTGCCCCCCGCTGTGCATGCATGCGGCCCTGGCGCCCCCCCGAGGCAGCACATGGGGCAGCAGCAGCAGGCGCCGGACGGTTGCTGCTGCGCTGCACAGTGGCAGCAGCAGCAGCAGCAGCTGCTGCAGCATGTACAAAATACCAGGCAGCAGCGGCAGCGGTACCCCTGTACCGCTGCGCCTGCTCACCACATGTAGATGGGCGCGTGCCCGTTGCGGGAGCCCATGATGGTGGCGTCCCTGCTGTTCAAGTACTCCACATCGCTGCTGACGCCCTTGATGTACCTGCGGGCAGGGCGGCACGTCGCGGCGGCAGCAGCGCGCGCCAGCTCAGCACCTGCCAGCCCGCGGCGGCGGCCAGGCGCACCGGCCGGCCGGCGGCTGGGGGAGCGCGGGCGCGGGGCGGGTGCGGGGTGGCGCCCGCCGCTGCGTCCTGCTTCCTTCTTGCTGCTCACCTCAGGCGCGTCATGACGACGCCGCAGGGCACGGGGGACCCCACAAACTTGTGGCCCGACACCGAGATGGATCCGATGGGCTTCTTGAACGTCACCATGGGGGCGCGCTTGACAAAGGGGATCTGCAGGGGAGGTGCGCGTGTGTGTGTGCGTGCGTGTGTGTGTGTGTGTTGTGTGTGTGTGTGTGGTGTGGGGCAGGAGGAGGTCGCGCCCCGCGACCGGGGCAGCACCAAGCAGCGGCACGGCCGGCTGCACGGCTGGCCGCCCCGGCTGGGGCGGGCCTGGGGCGCGCAGCGCGGCGGGCGGCGCACCATCATGCCAAACAGCGCGCCGTCGCAGTGGATGAAGAAGCGGTCCTCGGTGTAGCCAGTCTCCTGCGGCGCGGCGCGGGCACGGCGCGAGGAAACAGAGGGAGAGTGAGTTCAGTGGGGTGAGTGTCAGAAACGGCAGGCGAGGAGCATGCGCAGCAGCGGCCGCCGTGCCTCCCCCATCCGCTCCCGTGCGGCGCGGCACAGCGCTGCCCCTTGCTGTGCCCGCCCAAATGAGCCCCTGCGCTGCCCTCTGCCAGCCAGCCCTGTGCCAGCCGGCAGCCCCAGCAGTCGGCCTGCCAGCAGCCCCCAGGCGGCTCCCCTTGCCTTGAGTATGTCCAGCACGCGGTCCAGGTCGTCCACCGCGCCCTTGACCGTGGTGCCGATGTTGATGTTGATGATGGCGGGGCGGGCGGCGTTGGCGGCCAGGTGGCCCTGCAGCTCGTCGTAGTCGATCTCGCCGCTGTCCAGGGTGCCCACCTGCAGGGCGGGGCGGCGACGGGGGCGGGGGTGGTGATGGGGGGAGGGGCCAGGCGCATTCAGGGGTCCTGAGAACTGGCAGGCGGTGCTGGCAGCGGAGGAGGCAGCTCCAGCAGCCAGCCGCACACAAGCCAGCCAGCCGTGACGGGCCGCCCAGCGCCCGCCACCGCCACCACACCATCTGCCACACACGCGCGGCAGCCGCCGCCGGCGCCGCCCGCACCTTGACGGCATCCATGCGGTACATGCGTCCCGCCTTGAAGATGGAGTAGTGCGTCTCGCGCGAGGCGTACAGGATGCCGTCCGGCAGCGCCTCGCGCCCCACCAGGATGCCGTGCAGGTTGCCCTCTGCGGCGCGCGGCGGCGGCGGCGGGGCAGCCGGCGGCGGCGTCAGCCTCGCCACGCGCCACGCGCATGCGCACCGCACACCCCACGGCACCCACAGGCTTGGCGGGTGGGCCAGTCGGGCAGCGGGCGGCAGACAGGCAGGCAGGTCCCTCCAACCCTCTGAGCGCTCCACCCCACACATGCTGCCGCGTGCTGCCGCGTGCGGGCGCACCTGTGCCACAGTTGGTGATGTATCCCCAGAAGTCGTCCACCTCAATCTCCCACAGCCGCGCAAACCACTGCACACGCGCAGGGGGAGCGGCGGCGGGGGCGCACTCAAGCGCGTGCGGCGCAGGCGAGGCGGCGGCAAAGAGCGCGGCAACCTCCCGCATCCTGCCTGGCCGCCCTGCCTGCCGCCGGCCGCCGAGAGGCGCGCTCGCCGTGCGGCCAGCGCGAGGCCCCAGCGCGCAGCCACCTGCAGCACGCCGATCTCAAACTCGCGCGAGTGGACGCCGTAGTTTGACTCGATGAATGGGTCCCCCAGGTTGTTGATGCAGTACTTCTGCAGGCCCTCCAGAGGCCCGTAGTCAAAGTCCAGGTTGTAGGGGTAGCTACAGGGGCGCGGGAGGGCGGCGGGGGAGGGGTCGGCCGCGCGCGGCGGGATGAAGGGCAGCGCCGCGGCAGGAGCGCAGGCTCACCCCATGTGGTGGTCGGTGCGCAGCTGCAGCTTCTCCTTGTAGTCGTCGATCACCTTGTTGATGCGAGCCTCCAGCTCCTGCAGGCAGCGAGGGGGAACAGCAGGCTGGGAGGGAGGGCGGCGCGAGGCGACGCCGCTGCCGCTGGCAGGGAGCTCCCCGGCCGAGCCTGCCCCGGCGGGTCGCAAGGCCAGCCCCCTCCCCACCCCTGGCAGCAGCGCCAGCCGCAGCAGGAAGGCGCAGAGGGCGGGAGCGCTGATCACTCGGGCTTGGCAGCCCACCTCTTTGTCCAGCTCGCCAGGCTCCAGCACCGGCAGCGCGGGGGTGATATTGTGGGTGATGATGGTGCTCTTGGTGACGGGCAGGGCCTGGTAGGGGGCAAGGCGCGGGCTGCCCGGCGCTGCATCCTGCTGCTGCACGACACTCTCGGCGGAGGCGCTGTCCTCGCGGGGAACCGCCGGCTTGAGCACGGGGCTGGGAAGCTTGGCCGTGCGGACGAGCGGCAGGATGTCTTCCATGGTTGCTGTTCAGACGATCAGAAAGGCAGGGGGATGAGGGGCGTATGTTTTTGACTGAAGCCAGGGATGCCCGGCCCCCATTTCGACTGCGCCGCCACTCCATGTGTTGCCCGCTGATGTGGCACCTCCCCCGATTCGTCTGGCTCATCAGGCACGCTCTCTCCCGCGATCCCTCCCTTTCCTTCGCCTTTCAGAGTCTCTAAGGCTTCTATTTCTCCCCTCCCGCACCCCGCAGCTGCCGCAAATTTAAAATTATGAACCAACCTGTCATCCTTTATGCCTTAGAACGGCGCCAAAACGGCGCCAAGAATGTGTTTCTCACTAAGTCAGATGTAGAGGGCATCATCCGGATCAAGCAGGGCGACCAGCAGGCGCCCTCAGGCCGGCGGCGGCGGGGTGCGGGAGGGGGGGCGGCAGTGCAGGGCGGCGCCAAGAACTACAGCAAGAAGGTGCTGCAGTTCTTCCAGGTGCTGAAGGGCGCTGGCGGTCAGGACATCCTGTGCCGCTGCGTCAAGCGCAGCGGAGAGTGGCGGTGGTGCCCCGTGGTGCCGCTCGAGGAGCTGCCCCGAGTGATCAAGGAGCACCACGAGCGGGCGACTGGCTTCAGCGGTGTGGAGAAGCTGTACACACATGTGAGTGATACAAGGGGTGCAATGATGCCGCCAGACCAACTGGAGAGTGCTCTGCATCAGGCAGCAACCGGATGCATCGCAGCAAGCACGGGGGGTGCGGCACGGCCAAGGTGGCGCTGCCCTCCTCTCCATCTATCCCTCCTTCCCTCCCTCACGCCGCGCACTC